TGTTCGCAAAAGCCAACTGTCCCTTCACCACAGCTATAGCCATGGGCTGCATTATTACTGGGCGTGTTGTCCCAACAAGAACACAAGACTGGGGTCAAACGTGAAGCAAGGGTGGGATGGACTCGCCGGGCGCATAGGGCGCCGCGAAGAAAGGAAACGCGCTAGTTTGGCGCGTCTGCGCGGGGTACAAGTGAAAGGAACACCTACGGTGACTCAAGCTCGACCGTAACATCGGATGGAACGCCGACGGGTGGCGTTCCAGATGTGGCTGCTGATAAGACCGTGCGACCGTCGTCGGGTGGAGCGGCTCGGCGAGGGCGCCGAGGGTCGGTCGGGGAGAATTGTCACGGTCAACAGCTAGATGGAGGACTCGCTATTCCCGCGGGTTGTATTCAGAAGGTCTACTCACTACAGGGTCCACGAGCTACATCCTACAAGCAAGGGCAAGATGAGCAGACATCGGCGTTCCATGTCTAGAGTGGGACTGGAATGAAGGGAATGAGGAGGTACCTCGTTGTGGACCGCCGCGTGGTAAAGATTTGTGGGCAGGTAAAGGGCTTCTAGGTCGTGGTGAGACCGTATGGAAGAGGATCAGTCGTGTTTTTATCCTTCTTAAGAGAGAAGTACTCAGAATATATCAAGTTAGCTCTCGTTCATACGTCGGCCTGCTAGATTCACGACCCCGACACTAAGGAGGAAGACCGCGACAGACGCTCGCACTGACCCATAACGCGTAACCGTAGTACATGTACAGACGGCGCACAAGTTGCGATACACATCTGGATTGGGCTGTTCAAGGCCCCCAAGAGTTCTTAGATGTATCAATACTGGGCTCCACCGCTACAAGTTTATATCAACAATAACATAAAACGTAGGATAACCATATCTTCGGCCATATGAATTTCTGTGTCTTTGAGGCTGTGAAGGAACTACAGTGCTGTAGCCGCTACATTGTAGCGTAGGATGACTTGAGAAACTAATCTCAACATGGCACCGGACGAGCAAATACAGATGTGAGCCCACCACATGATCACTTCGACGATGTGCTCAATGCCACAATCCTCGACCGCTCAGTATTGTAGACCCTCTCTGGCTGAACTTTGCTGGATAGCTCACGTCATTTCGAGTTATTCCTCCTCAAGCCAAACATGGCCTCGACCGTCTCGCTCGCTTACCTAACAACCGTTTTCCCATTTGTCCAAAACAACAGCGATGCACAGCCGAAGGGCGCGGTGAGCAATGGGAATCAGCAGAACAGGAGCAGGAGAGACGCGAGCAACAGCGTCGCCGCATAGCCAACTGGCGCTAGCAGAAGAAAAAGAGAATGTCCGCTTTAAGTGACACGCGCCAGCAACTCGAGTAGACGCTGCAGCTTCGCGTCGATGCGGCTCGTGTTGCGACGGATCGGGTCACACCATAATCAATCCGCGACGCCTATTTTCAAACTACAATCCAACGTGCGATATTAACGAGGGAGAATCTGGCGCTGCGAGAAGCGATCGGGAAACAATTGGATGTGGAGATGCTGATGCAGTTCAGACTGGAATAATGTCTCGACCACATCTGTCAAACGGAATCGATCAAAGATTTGTCGGTAAATACCTGTTGGCGCGTGCTGTTTCCAAACTGCGGGCCGTCCTTCTACTTCTCTCCCTTCTCCAGAGAAGAATGTGACGATATTTTGAAGAACAACGACGTCGGGTACACTAACAACCACCCATGTACCGCTACAGTGGGGAAGATCTTCGGATGGTCAGTTGACTACACCCCGCCGCAAAATTCATCGGGAACGTTCATGGCGCATGCACGGTTTACCAAACGCCTACGATGCTCTCTGGATGACGCATATAGGATCATACCAAGCAAGGATAAGAGCTTGCGGCCCTCGTTGATTACAGCGCGTAACTGGGGACACGTGCAAATTGGAGGCATCAGTTGCCAAATACTGCAAGCATTTAGCGACGCTTACCATGTTTTGGCGTACAACATCCCGGGCGAAGTGAGCCTTCCGTATTTGGCCATCGCACAGAATTCTCGAGGAGTAAGCCCGGACGGCAAGCGCGCCAATAAGTATGAGATTACGCTCGCAGATTCGGAGGCCAACGCGCTTAACTGACTAGTAGAAGGGGAACAACAAGATGTCCAGTGGCCGTATGAAGGCGGCATCTACGTTACAATCACGGAGGTTGGCGAGTCTACAATCAATGTCGTCTACGACCTGTGGGCTGGGTGTTTGAGCGAAGTGCACAACCGGGAGCTCTTCATCGACTGGATCAAGTTTGCAGTTCAGTTAGAAGAGTGCGTATCCCCAGCGAGAATCTCCTGCACATGGTTGGAGAATGAGATATGCTGGAGTGAAGTAGATGCAGAAGATGCGGTGAGGAACCAAGCAGGAGGATACAGGCACAATATCGATTTTGCAGTTCCAACTACATTTTTTTGTTTATCATCATTGAGCGTCGCTAGAACTTTAGTGACTTATCCGCTATAACAGAGGTCTTTAGATGAACTCACACGGTTTAGCTAGGGTTAGCTTGTAGGATGGGTTTAATGATCGCACGGTCTTAAATTAGTTACTTTGAAGTGCAAATACATGAACGATGGAAGGCCAGATAGTGTATTTCCAAACGAGGTACCTAACAGAATTCTTGATGTGTGTCCACGAGGTTGCGCTGCTCGATCAACCCTAAGAAATAGCGGGATACATACTCCAGATTGTGACATTTGCACATATCTAATTTGTGCACAACTAACCGTAAAAGACCACGACAATTGTGGGTTTACTCCAACCTACCTGGTGGGTTTCAGCACATGTTCTAGCGGTTTGGCTACTTGAAACCCACAATTTAGAACCCCAGTACTGAACTAGGTTATGAAGGCCTATCATACTTGGCTAGCCATGAGCTCTACGGTGCTAAGTTTGCCGCCTTCTACCTGGCGACGAGTCTCAGTAGATCACGAACAAAAATGGCCTAGCTTCTCCTTGGTAACGAAGGCGGCGACAAGGATATCGGTGGCGTTCGAGTTCAACCAAGTGGGTGATCGCTTCACGGTTAGAAGACCAATGATTTGAAGACCATGGGTGTTATGGCTGGATACGTGAATCTCACGTACCAAGTCTACATTCGTGGAGCGCTGACCACCGCTGAAGCGTGGACGTTCCTCGAGGAGCACTTCAACAAGAAGACGCTCAAGAACCGACCCCTCGTCACCAAGAAGCTATATAGCTTCAAGATGGAGCCCGATACAAAGCTTGCTGTCCAAGTGGACAAGTTCAAGGAACTGACCCTACAAAATGGAGTAAATCAGCGAGTTTCTGGACGAGACTCGACAGATCGTGCTACAACTCTAAAGTATGACTGATGAGTACCGTATGTTGGCGACTGTGTTGGAAACACGCCTAACGTAACGCTCCCCTACGCGATCCAAGCACTCTCCGGTAGTGAAGCTTCGGATGAATCGTCACCGGCCCAAGAGAGGGCGTTCGCTACGATAAAAAAGGGCATCGGAAACAAGCGTCGCTTCAATGACAAATGCTTCTACTACAAGAAACAAGGGCACAATAAGTTCGAGTGCCGCGAGAAGACGGCTGATGAGGGAGGTGGTCAAGTGGCGCTAGCTGAAGCGTCACACTTTGCGTTCACGGCTGCGAGTGTGATGGCCAAATCAGAATGGCTCATTGACTCAGGTGCAAGTTCGCATATGACCAGCGTTCGGGACGTATTCGTGTCCACGAGGGACCCGAAGACGTCAATCTGTATCACGGTTGCGGATGAGACGAAGATTGACGCAGGTGCAAAGGGCACTGTCGGGTTGAAGATGATGGACGGTATTTGGGTCACGATGTCGGATGTTCTGTACATCCCTGAAGTTGACCCGTCTCGGTGTCGAAGCTGGCCAAAAGAACATCATCACGCAGTTCAGCAACGACAAGCGTGTCTTTCGCTGTGGCGATGGAACGGTCATGGAGGCCAAGCGCTGTAGAAACGTGTACAACTTGAAAACAGTGGTGGACGAGGAATGTCATGTTGCGGCAACTCGTAAGGAGCCATGGACTGTGGTGCTTGTACGCCTTGGCCACATGCCATTCATGCTCTACCAACAGCTATTGGGCATGGCAGAAGGAGCGTCCCGCGTCACAGATCGAGTCAAGAGTGATGGCTTCTGTGCAAGCTCCTGCATAGGGACGACAAGGGTAGATGATTTCCCTCGACACCCGAATAACCTTGCCAAAAGTTCTGGCGTTCTGGATTTCGTGCACACGGCCATCACGGGTCCGATGCAGACCACGATGCCTGACGGTTGCACATACGTGGTGATAATCATTCACGATTACTCACTCCACGCGACCGTATACTTTATGGAGGCGAAGTGTCGTCGAAGTTCAAAATCTACAAGGCAGCAATGGAGAATGCAACAGACAAGGAGGTCAAGCGCCTGCGCTCGAACAATTCGGTGCATACTCGGAGAGAAGGTTCAAGGACTGCTTCAACCGCAGCGGCATCAAGCATGAGAAGCTGGTACTATATACGCCTCAGCAGAACGGGTTGGCTGAGCAGATGAACCGGAGCCCCCGTGGAGATGGCTCGCTGTATGCTCTACCACGAGAGCATCGGGAAGAAGTGATGGGCTATGCTGTTAACAGTGTTATACAGCGTCGATCATCAACCGGATCCACAGTTCGGTTACCGTCAAGACCCCGTGCGAGATCGTACACCGAGCAAAACCACAGCTCAAGAACATGAAGGTGTTTGATGCGCTCGGCTATCTGCACATTCCTAACGAGAAACGTCGCAAGCTTGGTTGGAGTGTTCCAGTGTCGCTTCATGGGTTACGAAGATGGCATCAAGGGATACCGTGTTCTAAACGTTGAGAGTGACAAAGGTACAAATCCCACACACTGAGACGTTCGTCGAAAGGACAAGTACAGGGCACCTAATAACGTCCCGTAAAAGCGAACATGTCCAACGAACTATGGCGCCGGTGCCGAATGATTCACGCCTTGGCGAATCCGCGTAGATTGTCCCTGTTGAAGGTGAAACTGGAGACGTGATCCCACTCCAACATGACGTGAGCGTAAATAACTCAATCGTGCCGTATGATTCGACACACCCCATGATAACTCCGTCGAGAACACGTCACACTGATGAGATAACAAATCCTGAAGAAGCAGATACAAGGAAGAAGCAAGTGGTGGCATCGTACGAGATCGGGACGATGCGTCAATGGATGACTCAAGAACGTCCAAAGCCAACGACCAGTATCTTGCGACCTACGAAGGCGGTCACGCGATGCAGCCGCCGAAGGCGTTCTCAAGTCGTATACCAAGGCAGCCACTGGTGCTGAAAGTGACGAGTGGAAGAAGGCAGCTGTAAGTGAACTTGATTCTCACTGTCAACAAGATTTGGAAGCTGGAACCAAGGCCAGCACACCACCGTCCTATTGATTGTCACTGGGTGTTCGCGTTGATGCGCAATGATATGGATAGGTTATCCATCACAAGACCAGTTTCGTAGCGAAATATTTCTCACAAAGCATTGGGTCGACAATGAAGAGACGTACGCGCCATGGCTTACTTGAGTTGATTCCGTGTCAACCTGGCACAGTGCACTGCTCATGAATTTGAGATCGAGTAATGTCGATACGGCTTTCCTCTATGGTAAACTAAACGAAGAGATCTACACTGAACTGTCGGAAGGTCTTCGTGAACTATTGAGTTTGGCGGAGGTTGAAGGCGATGATAACGTCGTGTTTCTTTTTCTGCAGAGCCTCTACGGATTCAAGCAGGCATCTCGTGTCTGGGACAAGATTACCGACAGCCATCTCAACGACATGGGTTCAAGGCTGCGCCTACTGGTCCATGTCTAATCACGAGATGTGAAGGTGACGGTGAGTGTATCTACACCTTTGTCAATCCTAGTTAACAACAGTGTAAACCAAAACGGAACGTCCCGAAAGCAAAAAAAGTTTTTTTTTTAAATTTAAAAACAAGATATTGCAGACCAATATGGATTTAGTCCACAGTAAATCACACTTAAGTCCCATAGCTCATCAGCTCGGTTCGAATGACGGGGGCAACTGAGAGTGCACAGTGGCGAGCCATCTTATTCACAAGACGGAGGTCAATCAAGGAGATGCAGTGCTCAGCTGCCCTTTCAAGAAGCTGCATCCGCAGGTCAGTCTTCTCACCGTACGGCGCGTCGAATATTACCTCGTGGCTCAGCGACAGAAAGGTCTTTATACGAGCTTTTGAAACGCTAAAACAGCCTATTCAAAACACGAAAGCATTATTAGAGTTAGATAAAGAACATGGTACTAGACGAGGGATTCTTCCATATTGGGAGTAAACTTGGTGCACGCACCACGGGCGCCTCCTCTTTTGATTTCAGCGGAGCCGCGCTTAACGATATTGCGTGGTGTGGTAGATGGGATGTCGTTACATCTCGTGGCAAGCTCCCAGTCTCGCCCCTCTGTGTTCGCGCGCAAAACCCGTTTACGCGCAGCCAGCCCATGGTAAGTGGGAGGATCCACCACTGGCCAATGCATTACACTAAATCCACATTGCTGAAAATCCTAAATTTTAGTTTTATTTCTGATTTTTGGATGTTACTTCGGTTACTTCACTCCATTTAAATTTACACTGTTGCTAACTAGGATCGGCAAAGGTGTATACGTCGAAGATATGCTGATCGCCGCTAAGTGCAAGGCTATTATCGCTTCGGTGAAGGTTGAAATCGCAGAGAAGTCCAGATTAAGGACCTCAAACATGCACGCTTCATTATCGACATCAAGGCTTACTACAGCATGGAGTCTAAGACACTACGTATCAGCCAGCAAGCGTATACGAGTCGGTCTTCAAGAAGTTTGGACAGGAGAATGCGAAGCCGTGCCCTACTCCCCTGAAAGCTGGAGTTCATTTTACCAAGGCTGGCGAACCTCAGACCGAAGGTGACAAGACAGGCGACAAGAGCAAGTTGAAGTCAACACCGTCGTGGACAGCTTTGGCATGCGGACTCGACCTCACATTTCGTTCGCAATCGCCTAGTTGAGTCGATTTCTGGAGAAACCGGGACAGAAGCACAAGGGTGCGGGCATCAGGGCCGTTCGCTACCTGTTGCAGACCAAGGATGTGGGCATACGCGCGAAGGACGTCAAGGACCTGGACTCATTAAATACTCCGATGCAGACTGGATTTGGAACCACGATGACCGACGATCGATGAGGGAATGGTGATTGTGTTGTGTGGCGCTCCCGTGGTATGACGTTTGGCATTTCAGAAGACTGTTGCTCTAAGTTCGACTGAGGTTGAGAACATAGCATTTAGTGAGTGTTCCAAGGAGGTGGTGTGGATATGTAATGCAAAGCAACCAGATGCCACGGTGATCTACAAGGACAACCAAGGAGCTATAGCGTTGGCAAAAATACTGGTTACCAAGCTCGCACCAAGTACATCGCATTCGCTACCACTTCATTCGTGAGAAGGTTGCAAGTGATGAAGCTGACCTGGGCTATGATGCGTCTATAAAACCCACTTGCGGATTTCCTGACCAAGGGCTTGTCGTCCAGGACGCTAAGCTAATTGGTAACGCGCAGCAACATCGTACCCGTGCTCGAGATATCTAATTGAGTGGGGGTGTTGTGGTTGCGCTTCGCTGCCTAAAATACTTGACTGGATACCTACCGTTGTCTGGGCACTCTGTTCGCGTGTGCAGTGCGTGTGCCATGTGGCTCGAGCTGGAGTGGGGCAAATACTGCGACCTCATGGGACCATACGGGTTGATTTTTGCATTATCGGCTGGAATTGCATGGATAATCGCATGCAGCGACGCGGTCATCTCCCTGTTGCAAGATATTCTCCCTATTGCGCGATGCGTGTTTGTATACGAATTTGGATGCGCCGCCCAGTTGTAGAAAACTTTCATGTTCCAGCCTGGTCCATCCCTACGTATACAGTAAAGCAATCTGGAACTTCCTGGATACTTATCTGTATGCGAAGGGGGATGCATGCAAGGATGCAGTAGGAGAGCTGCATGTGTGGGATGACGCAAGCAGGATTAGGACTTCTAACTCATTTGATCTCACTCCAGATATCCAATTATCTGCTCACATCAAAAACAAGCCTCGTTCTCATCATCCTATACTCTCAATTGACTAATGCCGTGCTAGCACGGTGAAGCTCTGAATTTTACATATATGTACATGACTTGTACCAGAAACTTTATATTATTATTTTTAATTTTTATCTATTCCATTTTTTTAAAGTTGTACATGTAATAAATAAAAATACCATTGTTTTACTAATGCTTAATTTTAAACTTAAAGGTTTTACGTGTAATTCCAAATGCACCTTGACATATAAAAAAATAATAATTTGGTCAAAACCTAGTAAGATTACAACTTGTTGGTTAGTTGGGATCTTCATCTGCTGCAAACGCAAGCGACTTTACTACCCCCAGCAGACTGTGGTGGATGAAGTGGAGTAGTCTTCTATCATCAACCCAGAGACCCAGTCAGAACAAGACACTTCCTGCTTGGATTCGCTCAGTTTAGTAGACATCTTCGCAGTCAAAAACCCAGGAAGAACCAGTGAGCCCTAGCGCGCTCGTCCAGCTTCATTTGCATCCGAGTTTTCTGTATATGACCCAGACGACGCATCCAGTCGAGATCTGCGCGAACGAACAAAACGACTAAAGATTCACTATACTAGGATTTCCAGTAGGATGATTGCATGGACAGAAATTACCGTCGTAACGAGGACCAACTCCGTATTACGCCAGCACCACAGTTTAAATCAGGTGTAAGAATTTCCAGTAGGACGATTGCATGGTCACTACTCACGGTCGAAGACCAAATTAGTATTGCGCCAACATCACAATTTACCCATGTACAAAACGTATATGAGAGAACGTAAAATCTAGTGATGGCACCAGCACACTTAGTATATCTGTGCTTTAGCTCCAAGTTAATGTAATTTTTTTTTACATTAATTATGAACTAATTTAAAAATAGTTATACGTATACGCTATTTGGCCTACAAACGTTTAATTAGACGTGCATTAAACCTACTTCATCAATCGACAGAGTAGACTATTAAGTTAGAATCGCCTTGAACTGGTCGGAGAGGGTGGTTACATCTACATATATGAATTAAGTGTAATACGTGTATGTTATGTTTTTTAATCTTGCGCTTTGAGAACAGAACAGCGAACTCTCGATGAGATCGCGAACGGCCCCAAATTTTATATTTCGCTTTTTTTTTTTTAGGATCTACGCTGGTTTTTTTTTTACCTTCCGGAGATGGTAACCATCGGTAGTGCCTCGTGGACGAGATTGAATTTAAGTTGTTAAATCCACCACAAACAAGCTCACTCTTATACGTAACGATTCAAGCACATATACTTTGTGAACCAGCTAAATGTCGATCGATGTGATCGAGCCATCGCGAACGGAACCGGAGAGCTGATCTCCGCAAGAGCGTTGCTGTACGCAAGAGCGTTTCAGTCACTCCGTGGTACCCAAAGCCCCAAGCGTTTATGTCAAATACAGAGGTTTATGGTATTTGCATGCTTGCCGACCATTCTTGTAAAACCCAATTTTTTTATTTAGCCCTAATTGTTTGGGGTAACATTCACTGGGTTATTGGGTTATGAATGTTGCTCCTGGCCGCCACAAGCAACATTCACCTGGGTAATTCTAAGTGTGTAGAGGAAATTTAGTATAAGAGGTAATTATAACAACATTTGTATGGTGAAGAAGTTACATCTCTAGACAGCCCACGTAAATTCAAAGGGAATTGCACCACTTTGGCTTAGTAAATCCATGTGATTCGCTGATATCACAGGCACATCGAGTCATACAGTCAAACGCCGACACAAAGAGAGTACAAGCCTTTTCTTAGTATTAGAAATAAAGAAAGAGAGTTTTTTTAGGCAGAATCTGCTAAAACTCTGGATATAAAATTCAGAGAATACAAGGTAATCATAATAAAAATCTTTTTTAATGTCAATGCAATGCCCACCATTTGCTGCGCATTGTACTGGCATATCTCTCCATCCAATCGAACTTCTGAGGAGTATACTTGACGTAAAGAACAACTATAGTGGTGACAGTTGTGAATATCCTGTGCAAGTCGGACAGGTCACAGAAGAAAAGTACATAATAGTACACAATAAACTTATATTCTACTCTTGTTCTCCAGGAGCTTTCGTTTTACACAAGAACACCGATAATCAGTAAATTTATTATTGTCGAACTTTATGGCTCAATGTCGAGAGTACCGACACGTTTATTGATTGATTGGATAGGGTACGCCGCGGTTTGTGGTAATACTATAAAATTATTAATACGGTGGCTGTAAGCACAAAACGGAGGTTTTGTATTGTCCAAAATAGCTTTAACAGGATCAACTATGCAAACATTCCTGGCCCAGGAAGGCGGTGATTCGATGTGGCTTTTCACTTGATATTGACGGCTCATGGAGCCTGAAGCAACTTTCCCTCATAAAAAGTGATGCGGAGGATGTGGGGGCTAAATAAGGAGCGTGCCTGTAGACTATGATTCGTCAAAGTGACACTAATTTTACCACACTTAAATGAGGGTCAGTTCAAAATAGCAACACTCAAACTAATACTTGTAAAGAAAAATGAAAAAAAAAAAAAAAAAAACACTTCACATGAATTAGTATTGGTGAGACTAATTGCGGTGACTGAATATTCGAAGCGCCATCCAACACAATCCATCATGCCTGAATACTGGATACTGATTGGACATAACAACTTCTTTAGTGTAAAAACCAGGATTCGACTAGGGGGTGTTTCAAACGTATGGGGGATTTTCCGTCGTTGTCGAAAACCAGAGAGCCAGACGCAGATACAGTAACACATCGATCGGAAATATGGAGCCGATGTTTGAATCTGTAACGTTTCTTTGATTACAGTACACAACTGCATTGTCAGGGAAGAAATATTAACCCTAAACCCTAAATAAATCGCATTCTCTATCCTCGTAGTTGTAATCGCAGAAAACGTTATGCTGGAAACTGAACTCTTCACCTCAGTTTTCAATTCACCCGTGGCGACACCACTTATCACTACTGAAGCGATGACACTTCTTACCACCCTCGTGCTATGTTTCCTTTTGCACTCATCTGTGCAAGCCGACTCAATTAACCATGATCAAGTACAGCCATTCACTCAACCCGATCCAGTCACTATATCTGAGAAAGCTGCCGTCAAATTCATGCCACAACTACACATTGGTGAAGGTTGTGTTTCTTTCCCAGCCGTTAATGCTGCTGGTGAGATCACCGGTGGGCTTAAAGGAACAAAAGGCACGGATGGCTGCACGGAAGCCCCCCTGGGGTCTCAAATGTATGGCCGAGCGACGTGGTATGAAGACAAGTGGGCCATGATGTTTGCATGGTACTTCCCAAAAGGCTTTTCTGGTAGGCTCGCGCGGATCCGCCACGACTGGGCTAGCATGGTGATCTGGCTTGACAACCCAGCGTTGGAGACGCCAAAGATTCTGGGTGCATCGTTGTCGCACCAGCTTCTGAAGCCACGAAGGTGGTTCGGCTTTAAGATGACAGATGAGAAAGAACCGTTTATCAAGTACACCAGCATACCTCCTATGGGTTTTGTGGGCACTCAGCAGGTTTTAGTGAACAGAATCAGTAGATGGCACTACAATTACACCTACGTTGGCGGATCCAACGTTTCCACCAGGGTTTCACATACGATTGTGGACAAGTTTGACTGGTACACTTTAAGGTTTTCGTATCAGGACGGTGAATACCTCGACCTGGTTATGTGGGAGCAACTCACGGACGAAGCGCGCGTGGCTCTCAATACAGCGGATTTTGGGGAGTCCAAGGTTCCTTTTAATGACCGGAACTTCGAAACGACACTACAACTGGCATGGCCGTTTTTAATTAGTCGACAAACCGAGTTGGATGTGTAAGGCTTATATCAATAGAGGTAACTACAAACACAAAAGACAGTTTTTTTCAGCCTTCAGCACGCTGGCGGCTACGAAGCAAGGCAGACGCAGGAGATACGTCGGTGCAGGATATCCCAGCATCAAGCTTAACTCTGTAGACTTTAGTATTGTAGAGCTCCTTTGGGTGTAAACACGATTTTCAATCGAACGGAATTTATTCAATCTAGGATAGCTAGTCTTAAACGTGTCCAACACCCAAACATGAAGTAGACGATGATACTAATCAACAGTCTGGATGGCCGAACAGCGCCAATTGTTCTGACGCAATAACAGGCTGTTGTATTTAATGATAGAGTTACGAAGAAGCTCCAATTCAGAACTCCAGAGGTTCAAAATTGCTTCTTGTCTATAGGTCTACTTAACGCCATTATTGCTATTCTTCGCTAGAAGCCCACGTTATCGATACCACAAGCACTCAGATAGACGAATTACACACTGATACACATCGCGAAGTACCAAGTGCTATACGAGACTACATCCGCAAAACGGAATCACAGACCCCAGTCGGTCTTGCGCACACTAGCACTATCCGTTCTTTACAAGCATTACAATGAAGTATAGCTATCTTTTTTTAGCGTCAGTCCATCAAAAGGATATTGTTTTAGTACTCCCAACCTACGATAAACGCAGGTTTCATTACAAAACTACATACTAGTACACAATAGTGTCGTGTATGTGTGCTTATGGGTGTGAACCAGGGTGCGTTAACGTAGTATACTATAAAGCCCACTACTGCTACTTCAAGAAGACCACAACTTGGCAGACAACGGAAAAAAATGACAGCTAGCTCGCTCCTAATGCCTTCGAAATACAGAAATTACTGAGCTCCTATCTCATTGTATGGGTAACTATTTTGCTTGAATAGTCATCGATAGTAACATACTTGGCTTCTGAATGACGCACGCAACTGATCGACTTTCCGAATTCGAGCCATCATAGTCGAACAACGGTTAGATATCAAATTGCGCAACATTCGACTCAAACATTTTTGCAAACAGGGCGTTACTATAAATATCGGAATATGAATTGATATTACAACCGAACATTCTTCGCACCATCAAAAAAGCAAAAAGTTAAATAACAATAAATACCTTTTCTTAGAATGTCAAGAAAAATTCGAGACCTGGTGGAATATTTGATCTGTTTAGGTGGTCAAAGCACAAACAAGTGTTACGATAGCAAAGTGATGGCAATAAAGTAATATATAAAATTTCCTATGTATCATCTACTGTCAGAGCATGCAACGAGTATCTGCTCAACAGGAAATACAGATTAATCTCCCATAGCTAATACAGCTCGTGGAACAACTTTTGATCAAATATATCAAGTCGATCATGGTAAGGCGGTTTGTTGTGGTTCGCATTTTCTGAAATTTAGTGGAATTCGAATGAAATGTTCCAAATTAGGAAATTTTTGGAAATATCTGACAATGCACCCGACATCCCAACGTTCCTGTTGTGTTCTTTTCAGAAGCTGATTTCCGGTGAAATGTACACCATTACTTTGCTTGAAACACACTATCAGGACCATCCAACAGAGCATCCACCTGATGAAAGTTTGCCAATTTCCTCAACTTGCATTCTCGACACCTGTCTGCCAAGACTGATTAATTTTCCGGTGGAGACTTGTGGGAAAATTGCTTTTCAGTGGGAGACATCTATCATCGTCGACCAGAACGCACATTCAGCCAGAAACATCGACAAGCGGTACAGTTTCATCTCCGAGCAGTTTGTTGTTGTCGGTTGAGGGTGTGAAAGGAGTTGCAAAACCGACCGCGGTTCTTACACAAGCAGTTCGGACAAGATGGTTAGCGTAGATAGAGTCCTTGTTCTCATTCTCCAAGTTGAGTCGCCTCAGTCGGATAATTAAACCTTCTTTCTAGTGTCACAATGTTCACTATCGCTGCTCTACGCGCCGTCAAGTTCGTTCTGCTACTACCGAAGATGTTGGCGCATCCGTTGGAGGCCCTAACGTTCGCCAAGGTTAATCGGCGCACTCGTACGGCTGTTTTCGACACCGGTGTGGGTTCAATGGCAGGAATCAAGCTGAAAATAACACCAACAGAATCGGTCCAATGGGCTGTCGACGAGAGCGACGTTCAAAATTGTGGCGGGGTGCCATGCTACGAGCTCTCATCCTCGCGTTGATAAACTATCAATTTCTGCACGGCCAAGCGACGATATATGAGGGTCCGCGGGTTCATGTGAGCACAGGCATGGGCGAATTTGTCATCGCAACGAATGAGGCTACGACAAGTATGACAGTTGTGGCCTTACTGCTGCAGCCTTTTACATATTCAGCATCCGAATGGAGTTTAGACGAATTGCTCGACATGCACAGAGTCATTTGGAATCGCATAATAGTGGTTGACGGATCGTCTGCCTCTACAACCTTGCTGATATTCTAGACGGCTACGCTGGCGACTCCGATATTCCGTCTGAAGATGCTCCTGTACTCTGGATTAATCCCCGATCAGGACTCCAAGTGGAATTTCCGCCTAAACACGCAATCGACTACACTCACCACATCCACGGAGGTACCCAGCACTGTGGGAACCTCATTTTGCTGTGTGGCGGACCCCAATCCAGTGTCAACAAGTCCTCGTCCAGAAGGTATACAGTCAGCAAGTAACAATAACGTCGAACGACTATTCGACCCTCACAACGATGATGATGAATTTCTCGACGAACCTGATTCTACAACTATCTGCGCACAACCAGCACACAGTTCCATCGATCAGAATGAAGTGGTGCCTCCCGCGCGCAAACGCGCACGCCTCATAGCACCGGTCAGTAGCAGACACTCGGAAGCTGAAATGTCTGCCACCACATCGATTCGACGTGACTTGCAACAACCGGCTGTTGGCCACTTCGCGGGTCCAGTTAGAGGCAGCAACACGGACGAAGAAATGTTGGCCGCCATATCGAATCGACTCGATCTGCAGAGAAGGATTCCTGAGCGATACCTCAACGCTGCGTCGAAGCCAACCGCTGCGGAATCGATTGCTACAGCACCTCGGGCAACTATCACGAGTCTGGATTAATCACGGCGGGCGCTTTGATTCGTTTCAAGAAATTTCACAAACAAGTCGCGTCCCATTCGTACCGAGTGCTTCCCAGCAGGACGTCCACCAGTGTATCACAGCTCTCCACCATCAAGGTAAGAATGCGTCTGAATTTCCGGATGGTCTCATCACTTCTCGATTTGTTATATTTTTGCCCCTGCCCGGGGTGTTGGTGCGGATATACGACGTGCAGTTTGGTAATCGTGGTTTGTCAATCATGCATCTCTTACCTGCTGACGATATGACAAGAATGCGTTGGCAGGAGGATGGAGGAGCCAATTTCCAAGCTCTGACTTCCACCGCTGGTGCACCGAAAGCAACACGCGCTGCAGGCATTCAAGACGTTGTGTCAGCATGTCAAACATTATCCATTTACGCCATAGAACGACCTACAGTCCGACATTCTTGCATTGGTCACATTAGTTCAGCGTTTGGCAGGATCTACTTGTCATTGGGACGTAGAGGACATTCCCTTCCTGGTTTTCTGGATTAATTCCATGTTGGAAGCGTATCGCGTGGCAGTGGAATTTCGTACTCTCATTCCCGACAATTTTGCTCGAGGGTTTGACACAACCAACGTCGATATTCAGCATCTCCTCCAATCAGCAAATGCACGACAAATACAACGTGTCAAAGTACAAATGGAGCACGTCAAAAACGACACATCTCGGGCTTCGAAATCAACACATGCTTCAGGACGTGAGGTTACGGTCATCTCAACCGCCATTACCAAAGGCATCGACGTCCTAATACCCGGTGAGAACGGCAAGAAACTCTGTCTCCGATGCTCAGGTCGGGCTCACTTCAAACCAGAGTCGCTTCATACAAAGATGAAAAAAATTGATTCTAAGACGTTTTGGAGGTCTGACGCCTGAATATATATCTCTATGAAGGTGTCTCGATGACGTCCTGTCATCATCATTGAAAGAACTTCCGCCCAATGACAGTTCTCGTTGTCGTCAGAACGACTCCTTTCAGAACCACATCATTGCGCAGTCAATAAATGGGAAAAAGCGTTACATCAATACCACAATCGGCCGCAACGCTGGCTTTGTCAGCCCACGTCGATGGTAGTCTCAATCGCCAGCTGCGTCCAGCCGTACGCACGCAGGTCCGCCCATCGACATCAACGAAAGGACGTAAATTCAAACACCGGTGGCAAAGCATTGATCCTCTGCTGGATAAACAACCGGTACGCTCTCCGACTTCAACGGGGAATGGAAAACCAAGCAGCTATCTCAAGGCGCTCTTTCAACTGAGTCAGCTTGGCTACCACCGCTATCCATCGCATCCAGCGAAATCATTCGTCAGCATCTCAAAGAAGACTTATTGCGAGCGGAGGTCGCAACAAGTCGTCGTTTACGTGCGCTGGGTTTCCGACGAGGTTCCAATCGCGAAGGACTTGATTCACGTTATCAAGAATCGCCATAGAACACAATCTCGACGTAGCCAGTATGGCCAAGCTTGTACGTGGAGATACGCTAGCCGAGCCCAGACCAAACAAAGAGTTTAGAATTAGCGATGTCAGATAGCTGCTTCGTGACTACGAACATTGTGATCAAGTGATTTCGATAATGGAAAACGGGATCCAATCAAAATGGCTGCGCCCTCCGCCAACTCAACGAGCGCCCAAGAATCACCAGTCATGTCAACGCCATCTGCGGTGAGTTATCCGTAGCATTTGGGAAGGCCAAGACGATAATCACTACATGGTAGTCAAGGTTGCTATGTTGCCTCACTGGAAAACATTGTTTGCAGTCCTTTGAGTGCCGTGGAAAAGAAAGACGTGGATCCAGCAAATCGCAATTCGCCTTATTCACGATCTCTCGTTTCCCCCCGGGATTTTCTGCAAATTCGTGTTTTGACAAGTCATGTGCTCCGGAAATTCATTATCTGTATATCGCGACCATTGCTGATCGCATAGATGATCTATATCATCGCCATCCAGCACTTGTCATTCGCACCCTCAAAGGTGATGTAAAGTCTGCTTACCGCCACTTAATGACGGCAGCCAAGGACGTACATTGGATGGTAGCTCACATACCAGAAGTAAAAGCACTAGTGGTCGACTTATCTGCCCCGTTTGGTTGGACTAGCTCGCCATCATTCTACGGAGTTTTCGGTCGGGCCATTACTTGGTTACTTCAGATCAATTCACCGGCATCAGTGTCATACAAAAAGACCATACTCGTGAAGTGCTGGAGTGATAATACGTCGGCGGTGTCGTGGACTAACACGCTGAACGTATCGAATCATTTTAGTCTAGATCGATTGGACTTGCCGAGGCAATGTTCAACATTCGTGCGCACACTTCGCATCTTCATGGCCTATCCAACCTTGCGGAAGACGCAACGTCTCGGGCATGGGTTACTCCGTTTGCAGAAACGTGAACTAATTTTTCTGCCTCATAGTCACAGATAACAGTTCCAGCGAGCTTGAGGCACATCTATCTGAACTTCTCGACGACCTCCAAGCCCAATCACTGGCCCAAAGCTCGAACATCAAGTATTCCAGTACATGGCGGCAATGGCAGCAGTGGTGTGAAAAAAGCTACAATTCTCAGTGTGGCTATTACCCGAACCAAGACGACACTCGTACCAACTCAGTTTATTCGCCGTCTACCTCTGGAAATACGGGTGGAGCAATAAATCACCCGGAAATTCAACATCTACCGTCCTTGCCAAGATCAGTCATCTGTCGTGGCATCATAAGCGCGTCGTCGACTACTCAGTTAGGTTGGTCATGGCCATCGGCTCGCAATCGCAGGAATGCGACGAAAAGAAGGAGCTCCAACCAAAAGAGCACCCGTCACAGTCGCCATTTTGCGAAAAATTCACCGCAGTCTCAACTTCACCAACCAGCACAACCTCGTCATTTTAGGGGGGGGGGGGGGCTGCGGTTCTGGGCTGCGGTCCTTCTTCTCCGGAGATTGGAGTATCTTGCCCAATAAAACAAGGTGCGCCAGTTCGCTCTTAATGCAGCAGACGTCAGATTCTTCCAGGTCGACTGAACTCAAGCAACAAGCTTCGGAGAAATTCGGTTAGCAGTGATTCGATTTCGTGGTGGCAATACGGATCAGTTTCGGCAAGGAACCACCAGAGCCATCGGAAGGTATGGAAGACCTTGGCTTCGCCCGATTCATGCACTGTGGTATTTATCTTTACATCACAAAAATATACGGCTGCCCTCAAGCAAACTGCTATGCTCATTGGATTCCGACAATGTCGTACAGGTTAGCTCCATAGCCAAGATAATCAACGAAGGGGCAGCATCCGTCGGGGAAGATCCCGCTCAACTTGGAACTCATTCTTTCCGAAGTGGAGGTGCTACGGTGCTGTTCAGCGCAGGTATTGATGCCGACACAATCAAACAATTTGGCCGGTGGAATCTGACGCGTACCAGAGGTACGTAAGCAAAGGTACGTAAGACTCAGCGATCAACAAGCCTCTCAACTCGCAAGCACCATGGTCAACTCTATAAATTTCGCGGTCAACCACAATGGGCAACGTCAATGCCAAGCGGTGAGGGACCGCCAAATTTTAGTGCTGCTGCTTGGCAGCACGCCCCAAGGATGCTTCGAGTGAAATTAGAATGAACGAGCACGTGATCTAAGTCGATACATATCACTGATTCTTACTAGCAGCAGGAAACACCATGCATTTCGACAGTATTTAACTTATTTATTCTATCCATCATACTGTATCAAGTTTCCGATTAGACATAATTATTATCAAAAGACAATACAAAAAACAAGTATACCAGTTCGGTGGAGTCCAAATCTATCAAGTACGATAGGATATCACCATACACGAGCTCATCTTAAATTCGAACCTAAAAAATACACGCTGCACCATTCGTACATACAAAGCTGAAAAACGCTCCTATTCGATTCTTTTACAAGATCATTCCGACAATACCTCCATCAAACAAATAGAGTTTACAACCCTTCAAAAATTGCTGATACATCTGATGGATACTAGAATACCAATGGATATTCCAATTTTGGGCAATACGAAAGACATCACTGGAATACATTATTGGATCGGAGGATTATCTGGCAAACGTTGTTTCCAGACCAGGAGTTATTGCGATAACTAAAGTTCTTCATCTATTTGGAAGATCCACAAGCTCGCTCATCACCTGCTTTGAAATGCTGTGGGTGGCACATACCATCCGCGTCAAATGTATTGGTAGGGGTGACACGATATTTAACTTTTAGTTTCATCATTATAGATATCCGTCACCAAGCCATGACAGTCATTTCTATACAAAGTGAAACTAGGGCCATGGCACGGCTGTAGTTTCAAATTGTATAAATTGTTAATTTCTGGATGTTATACACGAGAACATGTAACTTGGATTCATTTTAGGCTTTTAAGCCTGTCCATACCTCGATACTTATGGAAAGCGAAAGGTAACGTATCCTCTGGCTATTGCGAATTCGGATAGCAACAGGCGCGGTCAAACTGCCGCAGATTCGCAAAACCACGTTATCTGGGCAGCAGAGGGGAAGACGATGTCAGAAGGACTTGTCCTTGCCTCACGAATGATTTCAGGATATACAATGTAGACTGTATCACTTAAACCAAATGCATCAACCAATCGAAGCAAAGGCAAATCCACTCATTATCACTTCGACATCGCACAAAGGCAAATCCACTCATTATCACTTCGACATCGCACAAAAATGACAGTAATAGTAACCTCGTTAAACCCACTGTAAAGTTAGAGAAATAAATGTACTTCGAAGCATGTAACCTGTTGGTCATCAAGTTTTAACGTTAGAAGCTAACGCACATATCTTGTCT